CTCGCAGCCGCTGCTGATGGCGCAGCTCGCGGGCGCGGGCAGGCGCGGGCGGCCCCGTGGCAAGACCGCGATGGCGCGCGCAGTGGGCAGCAGCAGGGCCTTCCCCCATCTGCTGGCTGAGGGCGGGGCTGCCGGGGCGCCCGCGGGCCCTCCGCGCGCCGCTGGCGCGCGGTCGGGAGAGCACGCCGCCGCTGGAAGGGCGGCGCGGGCGGGGCCTCGGCAGCCAGGAGGGGTGGCGCGTTGGTCAGGGCGGGGCGGGGAGCAGCTCTCTGAGCACCCCGAAGCCCCTTAATCCAGGGGCAGCCACGCGACCGCCCCAAGAGGAGGAGCGGCGTGCAGCAGGCGGGGAGCCCCTGCCCAGAGGACAAGGAAGCGCCGCCAGCGCTGCACCCCGCGGGGCCCCTGCTGCCGCCACTGGAGGCCCCTGCAGCCCCTCCAGATGGCGCGCAGGGGCGAGGTGTGGCCAGCCGAGGCCTCGGCGGCCAGGAGGCGGGGAAGCGCCGCCATCGCGGCGCCCCGCGGGGCCGCCGCCGCGCCAGGGGGGCCCTGCAGCCCCCCCCCCCCCAGGCCGCGCGCGGCGGCGAGGAGCGGGCGAACGCGCCACGGGCGCCGCCGACGAGGGCGCGACAACCGCGCGCGGAGCGCGCGGCCGCGAGTATCCGCGGGCAGCGGACCGCACGACATTTGGGACCCTGGCGGTCGTTCGCGCGCAGACGGCCGCCAGGGCTTCTTTGATGATGGCCCATTCATCCATCCATCCATACTCCTCCTCCTCCTCCTCCTCCTCCTCCTCCTCCTCCTCCTCCTCCTCCTCCTCCTCCTCCTTTTCCTTCTCCTCCTCCTCCTCCTCCAGCCCCCTCACGGTGCAGGCTCTTGCTCCCCTCCAGTAAGTTGTCTACCAGTTTTGCTCGAGTCGTTCTGAGAGGCAGATACACTGAGCGTCAACAGAACAGAATCCGTGCACCCTCGAACCAGGAGGTGCAGAAGCACCTCAGGAGAGGCTAAAATGGCTGCAGTAGGTGACAAGACACCCGCGTGAACATGAGCAGGCCATTGCATATTTAGGAGGGCGCCGCCGGTGGAATAATCAAACCTCGAGGTGGATGAGCAGGGTTGCTTGCTCCCAGCAGCCAACGCATGGGCCAAACAGTGTTGGCAAGATGTCGTTTCGTTTCGGGATCTTTCGGAGGGATCTGAGTTACATTATTGTTTGGACGGATCCGTTGTTTTATTTTTAAAAACAAATGTTTAAACAAAACATCTGGGGAAGCCCGTGAGATTTCTATCAGAATTGATGTTGCTGAGCTGAGGTCGCGGGAGTTGTCGAGGTCGGTTGCGCCCCCGTGGGACCCTGACGCTGGTTTTGTTGAACCCCGACCTTAGCTCCACATCGTGTGTCCTGCGTGTGAAGAAACGAGTCCAGATAGGAAAAAACATGGTTTCACATTGCGTGCGAGTGTGTGCGAGAGACAGAGATGACATAGAAGCCATCCTGCAGAATGTGCGCGCCACGAACAGGATTCCGTTTGCTGCTACCCTCTCCAAGTATCGCATTTTGTGCCACAGCACGTTTGCAGACAGAGCCACGGCACAGTGGCACGTAGCAGCAGCTACGTTTCATCGCAGGTGTATTACAGATTGTTCAGTTCGGGCCCCACGCAGAATAGAGCACAAAGTAGTTGCATGTCCGCTATGCCGTTTCATTGTTCAGACACCAGAGCTTTTGGACGATCATCTGGCAAACACTCAAGTTCTGCCAAACGTCGAGAATCACGTACTTACGATTGATGTCGCAGTGGCTGGCATCAGCACAACAGATCGAGGAGGACAAGGCCCCGAGCACCAAGAAGGCCAAGGGATCGGGCAAGGCAAGAGGCAGTCAGGGAGAGCGCCTTCCACTTCAATTAGAAGCTCGCATGGGGGAGAGAGAGAGAGAGAGAGAAGCATCGGACCTTCACTTCCAAGGCCCATCGGGCCACTCTGTTTGTTTGGCCATGACGTAGGCCACAACCAATTACGAGGGACTGGTCAAGGCCGCGGGCGCAGGGCACGAGTACGGATCTCCACACCTGCACGCCGCGGCAGCGCTGATGAACAGCCTAGCCAACACGTCGATGGACGGCAAGAACGACCAGACACAAAGCATACTCGCCGCCAACAAGCGCCTGGACGCCTCCAGGCAGGACCTCAGTCCAGCAGATTTCGAGGACTGGTGCATCACGTGCAGGGCCAGCGAACTCATGTCCAAGGCAGGCACCGCCCCCACAGCTCGCCTCTCGTGCCACTTCGAGGGACACTGGCCAGGGACAATCTCCATGGAGCAGGATCCAGAGGCCGCGCAGCACAAGTATCATCCCCTCGAGGTGAATACCAAGCACGGGTTCACGCAAGTCGCCACAAATCGCCTCATCGCGCACATTCGTGTTGAAATCTGCAAGAGCTTCACGGCTTGATGGCGGCTCTGTTTGAAAATGTGGTTCCGGCCATGGCGCCTCGCAAATCTGTATTGAACATTGCAATGGGTTGCACGGATTGAGGGCGGCTCTTTTTTCCAAAATGTGGCTCGCCTAAAGGCCGCGCATGTTCGTTTCAAACGTTCGTAAGAGTTTAAGAGTTTCACGGGTTCTCATTGTCATCGTGCCCAAATTGGTGTGTTGGAGCGATTCAGGGCGCAACATTTACGTTGAGTCGCGGAGTTGAAGTCCTGGCACAATTCAGAAACGTTCAGACACAACGGTCATGTCATGATTCGTGGTGTTGAACCGAGAATGGTGTTCTGCCACGCTACAGGATCTTCAAACGGTTGTCTCCCAACGGGCGCTTCCCACAACGGGAATGAATCCGTGTCGGGGGCTACGAAGAGAATTTGGAAGGAGGGTTGATCCCAACATCGTTGCTGGTTCTTGGGTGTTCACTGGCCCTCCTCCTCGTCATCCTCCTCCTCTTTCATCCTCCTCCTCCTCGTCATCCTCCTCCTCCTTCTCTTCCTCGTCCTCCTGTTCCTCCTCGTCCTCCTCCTCCTTTCTCCTCCTCCCCTTCCTCCTCCTCCTCCGCCTCCTCTTCCGCCTCCTCCTCTTCCTTCTCCTCCCCCTGCTCCTCCTCTTCCTCATCATCATCGTCATCATCATCATCATCATCATCATCATCATCATCATCATCATCATCACCATCCTTCTTCTCGTACTTCTCTTCATTCCTTTCCCGTATACCGAATTCCTCCCTGTCAGGTCCCGGAGCTTGTCGGAGGGGCGGGCCGGGCGCTTCGATTGCTTTCCCCCACCATCTATGATACTGTAGCTTAGGACTTACCAACAGCTTCACAGCTGGAGGGCGGGCCGCTTCCAAAATGTGGTTCTCGCTTCAGCGTCGCGCGCATTCGTTTACAAAAACTGCAGGAGTTGCGCAGATTGACGGCAGATCGGTTAAAAAATGTGGTTCTCGTCTCAGCGCCGCGTACATTCGTCATAGAATTCTGCAAGAGCCTCACGGAATGAGGGCGGTTCGTTTTCAATAGTGGTTTCCGTTTTAGCGCCGCGCACATTCGTTTTAAAACATTGCAAGGGTTTAAAACGTTGACGGCAGTTTTTGGTTTTGGCCGTGGCGCCGCGCACATTGGCTTTGAAACATTGTAAAGCGTTTCGCGGGTTGGAGGCGGTTCCTTTTTCAAAATGTGGTTTTGGCTTTAGCGCCGCGCACACTCATTTTAAACATTTGCAAGAGTTCCCCAGATTCCCATGGTCTACGTACCAGGAATGTTGTGTTGGAAAGGGTCACGGTTGTCAGGGCGCAACAGTCACGTTGAGTCGCGGAGTTGAAGTCCCAGGAATGGTGTTCTGGCACGATGCAGGATCTTTCAGATGCAACGGTCAGGTTGATTCGTGGCGTTGAAGTCCCGCGAATGGTGTTCTGGCACGCTACAGGATCTTCAAACGCTTGTCTCCAAATGGGGCATTTCCCTCAGAATCTTGTAGGGGCCGACAGAAAGGGGCTTGGAAGGAGGGTTGATTCCAACATCGTTGATGGTTATTGGGTTTACGCTGGTCCTCCTCCTCCTCCTCGTCCTCCTCCTCCTTCTCCTCCCCCTCCTCCTCCTCCTCCTCATCATCTTCATCATAATCAGCATCATCATCAGCAGCATCACCATCAGCTTTATCATCATCATCATCATCATCATCATCATCAGCATCATCATCATCGTCATCATCATCACCATCATCACCAGCATCACCAGCATCATCATCATCATCATCATCATCATCATCATCATCATCATCATCATCATCATCATCATCATCATCATCATCATCATCATCATCAGTATCATCATCAGCATCTCTCTCTCTCGAGGGCTGGAGCTTATGTGCTTCAACCCAGCCCTTATCTCCACATCGTGGAGCTTTCGCGGACTGCCGATCCGATCCGACCCTCTCCCACGCCGTCCCTTTCGCTGTGTCCTGCCTCACTCCCCCCTCTGTCTCCACTTTCATTGCTACCCCCGCCCCCATCCGGAGTTCCCCTGCTCCTCCCATTGCCCCTGGCCTCATCGATCTGCCCCTCACGTCGGGCGTCGTGGACAAAAGCAGGCGCTTCTCCCCCCCTGCTCGGACGTCGGGACCGTTACGCATAGATCCAGTGCTCAAGGTCATGCATAAAGATGGCGCCTCTTTCCCCGATCGTGTTGTCATCGCCGTGATGTCTTTGAACGTTGAGCATCGCGACTTGCCCACGCCTTCGTGCGTCCGGCCCCGTGACCCTGCCGTCCGGAGAGCTATTGGAGCTTCCCCAAACCTATCGAACAGCATGAATACCTCCCCCCCCCTCTCCTGTTCCCCCTCCTTTCCCCACTCCCCCACCAGCGCCCAGAAAGGCTCAAAACCGTCCAAAGACCTCGGTCGATCCTTCCCCCCCTCCTCGAGCTCCACTCTCGCCTGGTGCCTCCTCCCCACGCCTGCTCCCCCTTCCACGCCCTCGACCAGCTCCTCTGCGCCCCCCCCCCCCAGGGGAGCGGACGCAAAGCCGAACCTGCCGAGCCAGGAGGACAGCCGGTGTGGGCAGGAACGGAGGGACGAAGGGGGGCAGGGAGAGGCGGGCGGCGGGGATCAGAGGAGGGCGAGTTGAGACACCGGCAGTTGGCCTTCGGGGGGGGCCATCGCCGCCACGGCGGAGCGCAGCTTGGAGAACTGATGCGGTTGAGCCCAGGGAGGGGTTCGGGGACCGATTTTGAGTTGCCGGTGTCTCAACTCGCCCAGGTCCGAGGGGAGAGGGCGGCGGCGGAGGGCGGGATGAAGAAGAGGACGGGGAGGAGGAGGTGGAGGGCAGCAGCAGGGGACTGGAGGGGCGAGGGGCGGGCAGGGGGGCGAGGAGGAGGAGGAGGAGGAGGAGGGCGAGGAGGAGGAGGAGGAGGAGGAGGAGGAGGAGCGGAAAGGGCAGAAGCAGGAGCAGCAGCAGCAGCGGCCGTGGAAGCCGGACCAGGAGCGACCCCTCGCCGGGGTGAACTTTGTGCGGGCCCACACGGGATCCGCCCCCCGCTGCCCCCGAAAGCCGCGCACCGAAGGCCACCCTTGCCTAGACTCACTCTGGAGTGAGCGATGATGCCAGACAACGACGAGGAGGAGGAGGAGGAGAAGGAGGAGGAAAAGGACTCCCCCTCGGCTTCCCCCCCCCTGGGGAGGAGGACCGGAGGAAGACCGGCGTGGGAGAAGGGAGGGGAGGGAGAGGAGGACCCTCAGTGACGGATGCGTATCTGACTCCCCCCCCCCCCCCCCTCCCCCCCCCCCTGGGACTCCTCCCCACCTGGGGAGGAAGACCCGAGGAGGACTGGCCCGCCGGGTAAGGACATGCGTGAGAGAAGGGGACCCCCAGAGGCGATGCGAATCAGACCGCCCCCCCCGGGGACCCCCCCCACCGCTGGGGAAGGGACAAAGGGAAGGGGCTTCCCTTTGACGTAAGGAGGACGTGGATGGAATTCCCTCAAGCTGCGAACCTGTTCCCCGAACGAGGAAGGGTGCTCTCTCTCTCTCTCTCTCCCTTTCTCTCTCTCCCCCGACGGGAGAGGAGGATAGGAAGGAGGGGACGAAAGAAGGTTCCCCGTCGACGGACCGGACAGACACCCCACACACGCCGACAGGGTCGGCGGATTTGTCGAGACTCCAGGTAGGGGGAAGCTGCGAGTAAGCGATGAAGCAAGGAAGGCATTGCTGTAAGTGAGCGATGAAGCAAGGAAGGCACTGCTGTGGGTTGATTTGCTTTGCTTGGCGTAACTTTGCATTGCTCGGCGTTGCTTGCGCGTTGCGTGGCATTGCTTGGCATCGCCCGGTAACTGAACAACGTCGGCAACCCCAGCAACAGGGCAACGGGGTAACCGGGCAACCTGGGCAACCATGTAACCCTGGCCATCCGGGCCACCCGAGAACCAGGCAACCGGGCAACTTGGGCAGCCCGGCAACCTGAGCAACCAGGGCATCCATCCGGGCAACCCGGGCAGCCCGGGCAGCCAGGCAACGGTGCCATAGGGCAACCGCCGAGGAAGGCCAGACAATTGGGCAATCGGGTTACCGGGCAATCCAGGGAAGGCCGGCTGGCGCAGGCCTCGCACCCACCGGGTCTCCGAAGACAAGCAAGAGCCCTCTCACGGCGGGGAGACATGGTCGTTTCGCGAAGTCGAAGCAGAGTTTGCACTGCTGGCGCCACGCGTGCGCTGCCCTCACGCTCCCCTGCTTCTCTTCACCCTCTTCCATGTGTCTTCTGAGGCAGTTTGGAATCAGGAAGGAGGGCGATCTTCGACGATCATCGATCCTCGATCGATCGATCGATTGACGACCGAGTACCCATCCAAATCATCGATCCTCGATTGCCGAGTCCGTCTGTTCTCGATCTACGATCGACGATTGATGCCGACGTCCACAACCTGGATCCTCGATCGATCGACGACAACGGGACTCCGACTGCCTGTCCGTCCGCCTGTGTATCGCCGGTCCTGGCTGCTCGCCTGCGCGATCGTCGTCGTCGTCTGCTCGCTTCTCCCTCCCTTCCCCCTCCATCCGTGGCGATCCAGGAAGGGCCTCGCCTTCGAGGAGTGAAGGAATTGGCATCTCGTCCTTGGCGGAAGGCCGGCGGAAGGCGGCGGAAGGAACGAGGGCGGCCTCGCAGGCGGAAGTTCGGCGGCAAGCGGCGGAAGCACTGCTTGCGTCCAGGGCCTCCGGAGCCCGCCGTCGGCCGCCTGCGAGTGCCCCAGGCGGGGTGCCCTGCCTCCGAGGGAGCGGGGCTCTGCACGACGCCCCGCAGCGGGCCGCCACGGCCCACCGCGCCGCGGCGGGCCAGCCGCCCGACGTGCGGGCCGCGCGCACAAGGCAGCAGGGGCCTCGGCCTCGATGGCGAGCCTCGGGGGGGTCCGCTCCAGCACGAGGCGGCCAGCGGAGGAGGAGAGGGCCACGCGGCGGAGGAGGCCAGCAGGAGGAGCGCAGGGTGCGCGGCCGCGCGACAGACCGTGCTCGCCGTCCGAGGAGGAGGAGGAGGAGGAGGAGGAGGAGGAGGAGGAGGAGGAGGAGGAGGAGGAAGTGGAGGAGGAGGAGGCGGAGGAGGGGGAGGGGGGAGGCCGCTCGGCTCGCCGCGGCTAGCCCGGGCCTCCAGGAGGGGAACCCCGCACTGTGCGTGGGGGGTCCCGAAGAGGGCATTGGCCCTCTGCCCCTGGAGCACCCCATGGCCCGTGGATCGGCGACGGAGTGTCTGCGGCCGTTGGCAGCGGCAGCAGGGGCCTATTCTGGACACCCACTAATCCTTTTTGTCCCCCCTCCTCCACCCCAGAACTTCCGACGTCATGACTTTACGTGGCGTGAGCCCCAGGACATCTCGACATCTCGACATGTCGACCCCATCCCCGAGGACCCGTTCTTCATCCCCCAGGCTGTTGTTTGATGGCCCTGGGGGCCGACACGCAGGTAAAGAAAGCATTTAGGATTGTCCCCGCGGCGAGCAAAGGCGAACTGGGCCTCCAGAGGTTTCTGGAGTCCCAGAAAAGGGGCCGAAAACGTGTCCCGACCTTTCGAATACTCCCCCCCCCGCTCCACGCGGGCGAGGCCCGCCCGCATGACCTGGCGGCGAACAGAAGGGGGTGGCTCGAGGGGGCCTTTGAGAGGGCGGCGGGCTCCTTACAAATCCTGCCGCCGTCTGAGAGGCTTCCTTTCTTCTTGCAAGGCCGCTGCGCCTCGCCCCGCGACCAGGAATCACTGAAAAGCGCCCCGCGGACCTCCAGGGTATTGATCTGGCCATTGGTTCGAGCCGCGCCCAGCCGTGACGACGAGGAGAGCACCAAGGGCCAAAAAAACAAACAATCAAATCGAGGAGGAGAAGGAGGAGGAGGAGCAGCAGCAGCAGCAGAAGGAGGAGGCTTGGAGGAGGCCCATGAAGGGCCACCCCCCTTACATCATCCCCTCCTGCGCGCCGCCAGCCACCCGAGGTCCCCAGAGGCCCCAGGGGAGCCATGGAGCTGTTCAGCAAAAAATGTTTGTCAGCGTGGACCCCGAGCAGTGAGTTTTCGCATTCTGGTGGTGGAAGCTCTGTGATGGAAGCTACGTGGTGGAGGCTGTGTGGTGGAGGCTGTGTGGTGGAAGCTACGTGGTGGAAGCTACGTGGTTGAAAATATGTGGTGGAAGCTCTGTGGCATCCACAGGAAGGCTGACAGAGGGTCCCACTAAGTGGGACCCAGCTTTTCGTATTCTTGACGCTTTCTCCTCTTGCACCGGCCTACGCTCTTCGCACGACTTCACGACGCCGCGCGGCTGTCCGCCGGCGGTTGCGAACAGAAAAGTCTCCCCACTGGATGCGGGAGCGCACGAGACGGCAACGAGGCGGCGACGGGCGGCAACGGGCCGGAGCGTGGCGACTTCTCGACGCACCCACACAAACGGCAACGGGCGGCGACGGGCGGAAGCGGTCCGGATCGCGGCGATTCCTCGACGCACCCCCAGATGCGGCAACGGGCGGCGACGGGCCGGACTTTGGCGATTCCTCGACGCACCCAGACAAGCGGCAACGGGCGGGAACGCTGCGAATGCTCGACGCAACCACACAAGCGGCGACGCTCGGCAACGGGTCAGAACGCGGCGAATCCTCGACGCACCCGTCCAATTCCCACGGGATGAAGCAAGAACCCCCAAAGTGAAAGAAAGTGAAAGTGTGAGAACACGGCTTGGGGGGAGCTGCTTTTTCACAGCGAGGGCGATTGCGCACCGCGTCCAGGGCCCAAGAGGAGGCACTGCCAGACGGATTGGACAGAAGAGGGCAGCCGCGGCGGGGGGGGGGGCCTCCTAAGAAGGCGGGGAAGTTTTTTAGAAGAGCCCAGAAGCTTCTAAGAAGGCTTCCCAGAGACCGGGAGGGCTTCCAAGAATCCCCCTGCCTTCTCAGAAGCCCCCCAGGCTTCTCTTGGAAGGCCGCCCCACTCGCGCCACCCCCGCGTGCGCGCCGCCAGCACGAACAGGCGCAGGACAAGAAGAGGGCGGCTGCGGAGGAGGGGGTGGTCGGGTGGCGCACTCAGACCACGCACAGCCGGACCGAGGTATAAGATCGAGGTCGGTTCGGGGAGGGTACCCTAGTGCTCTTCATGCTTGTTGGGTGTTCGTGTGCATCCTGGGGAGGGCGCTCCAAGATGCTATGTGTGTGCGTTGGCCGGCGGAGGGTCCCACGTTCTTGAAGGATGTTCTTCTGTCCCAGGTCCAGCCGTAGGACACCGTGTGTGGGGCGGAGGACCTCAGGCTCTGGGCGGGGGCCGTGCGAGGCACGCGAGTGCGAACTTGCCAGGGGTGCTGAGAGCGGGCAGTCGACCGAGCGAGTCCCGAGGTGGGCCGGACAGCGTCGGGGGCGCGCGAGGACAGAGTCCAAGCCTTGCCAGGCGCGCAAGCGCGAGGGCGCGAGATCCGAGCGTGGCTCGAGGACGCCCGCGGGGACCGACGACCGACGCACGACGACCGACGCACGACGACCGACGACCGACGGCCGACGACCGACGGCCGACGACTATGGCGGCGGGCGACGCCCATCGCCGCAGGATCGCGGCGGCCGCGCGGCGCGCTCGCGGTCCGCCTCGCCCGCCGCCGCCCCGGCGCCGGCGCGGCAGCGGTCGCGGGCCGCGGCGGGGCGCGAGGCGGGCGCGCGGCGCCGGCGCGGGCTCCCCCCCAGGAAGGCAGCGGCACCGTCACGAATATTCACTCACGGGTACTTCCTGGAGATTTTCCAAAAAGTGCCACTTTAGGGGTTTTGTTCTGGCCTTGTAGCGTTGCCCACATCGGGGAAAGGAGGAGGAGGAGGAGGAGGAGGAGGAGGAGGAGGAGGAGGAGGAGGAGGAGGAGGAGGAGGAGGAGGAGAGGTACGTCCGTTCGGCTGTCTTTTTCTCTCTGCTGTCGTTAGTCGCCTACCTTCTGCGGTGTACCTCACCAGCCAGTAACTCCACGGGCGACCGCCCCTGGAGCTCCCTGGCTCACTGGTTTGATCAAGCCCCCAGGGCCGACTGGCCCTGGGGGCGAGGGCAACGTTCGACTATGTTTTGTTGCCGTCAGGCTTTCAGATGCTGAGGAGGAGTGTAAACCCAAGATGCAGCATCGATGTTGCTATAAACCTTCCCTCAAAATTACTGCATTCGTGCGTCCCTACAAGAACTCGTTGTCATTGCGGACAGTGCCCCAATTGGAAGACAGCCGATGGAGAATCCTCAACCGCGCCAAAACACAATTCCTGGACAGCTGCGTCCCGACAATCCTAAATCGCGCCCGAGCACCGTTTTCGGGATCTTAGCACCTCGAGCCAATACGACTGTGGCGTCATGGCAATCCTAAAGGTTGCCGGAACACCACTCATGGGACTGCAACCTAAAGAGTATATGAAATTGCTGTACGCTCAAGACGGATGTACGCGGCGCTGAGGCGAGAGTCACATCTTGAACATGAGCCATCCTCCATCCTTGAAACTCCATCCTTGAAAATTGCAGCCAACTTTAAAAGCTAGTGTGCGCGGCGCTGAGGCGAGAGCCACATTGTAAACGGACCACCCTGCCTCGAGGATTTCTCGGAGAGCAAGAAGCGGGATAGCGCACCCTTGCAGAGGTCCGCGCGGCGTTTTTCTCCGTTGGGGCGTCCACACTTTTGAGTCTGGCTGCGCACGCGGAAGATTCCAGCCGCAGTGTCAGCTCGGCCAGCACCGCGCAAGCAGGGCAACCGCGCGGCGGACTCGCGTGGGAGGGCCGCCTGAGGAGGTTAAAAGAGCGCGAGGCGTGGTCAATCGGCCACGCGCAGAAGGGGGGTAGGGGGAGGGGGGAAGGCTTCTCAGAAGGAGGCCGTTCCTGAGAAAGCGCGGGCCTTATCTATAGATGTAGGGCCGGCGCTTTCTAAGAGGCAGTCTCCTCCTAAGAAGCCTACCCCCATCCCCCTTCCTCCCTTGTGCGCGCCGCCACCTTAACGCAACGAACGTTTGAGCTGTGAACCAAAATTGCCACCTCCCTGGGTGTTGCCAGGTGGGGCCCAGCGTTTCCATGGATGGATGCCCAGATGGCCTCCAGAGCAGCCCTCTCGCGGGGCACAGAGGGCCTTGGGGTCCAACATGGCGCGAAAACTTGGGGGCATCTTGGGACACTTCCCTGGCGGCCGCTGGCTTGGTGCGTAGGGGGGAGCTGTGAATGGAACCCGTGTAATACCCTCATATTTACTCCTTATCCTTACCTCTCCTGCGCCTGCCCGTTTGGGCTCAGGTATTGAGATAGATCGATCAGACCTTGATCGTGCGGGAGGGAAAGATATCCATATATCCCTCCTTCTCTCTACCAACGGATCAGGGGTTCTGTACCCTTGTACTTCAACCCCATACACAGGTTATCAGCCCTTTAAAGCTCACCCTCACCGACTCGCCCGCGGTGACCTCGCATGCGAGCCTGATGGAGCGACTTCGGCGCATGCGCCGCAAGGGTTCCATCGGCCCTTCGCGTCCGAGCTCTCCCACGGCCCGACGGCTCGGTGACGAGTTGGAGAGCATTAGTGCGGACTGTGTTGGTGTTCCAGATACCCCCCCCAGCTCCGAAGGACCCGAGGCGCGACTAGCTGCTGAACTTCGCCGCAGCGCCGCCCGCGGGGGGACAGGAGAAGGAGTAGGAACAGGAAGGAAGGAGTTTCACACGCCGACCTTCGATCCTCCCTCCCCTTCCCCGTCGGGAGCAATCCCAACCGCGTCAGGCGAAAGCCTTACTGGTCTCGATACTCCAGGGCGCTTTCGCGCTAACCGCCGATGGACCTCAGGCGCTGGGACCCCCAGCCCTGCGACCGTCCCTGTGGCGGAGCACGTAGCTACCTTCGAGGAACTCAGTAGACCAGTGTCGGCACAGCCGCAGACGCGGTACCCCAAGGTATCATCGGATGAGACACCACACACACATGGTCCGAGTCGCAGCTCGTCCGCGCGCAACCGCCGTGGAGCCCCAGGCCCATGCGGCGAAAGCAGGTCGAGCCCGCGCACTGCCTCTCAGAGGCCATGTACTCCCCGCGACAGGGGACATAGGGAAGCTGACGCTCCCCACCTCTCCATCTCAGACGACCAGCTGGCGGAGACGTCCGCCGCAGGTGACATAGCTGAGCTCAGAGACCAGGTTGAAACCTTCGTGTCCAGCCAATACTCTGGACTACTACAGAGCGTTCAGACGAACGCCACCGATACTGCAGCCATACGCCGCGATCTTGACGGCGCCTTAGGGATCATCGATTCCAGGATCGCCGAAGATCGACGCATCATAGGAGAACTGCAGTGCCAGGTTGATCGTGAGGTGTCACACTCAGGTGAACGAACGGCGATGGTCGAGAACCTGCGCAACTATCTCGCGCAGATGGAGCAACAGCTTGTGATCGTACGCGACACAGGCGTTGCCGCGGTCAGGATTTTACATGATGGGATCCACGACCAGCTCCGCAACCGACCAACTCCAACCGAGGCCACAGACCTTGGCGACGTTCAGTCTCAGATCAATGATCTTCGATCTTATCTAGACCACACTACGGCGACGCTTCGTACCGAAGCACACACCAACTCGTCGAACCTGATCGACATGTTGCAGCGTACTGAGAGAGTCATCACTCAAAGGCTTGATGCGACCAACGCTGTCGTGCAGCCACTCGCTAACCGGATCTCTGACATAGAGCAGCGTTTTCCTGGTGTACAGGACGCCCTGGCAGAGTTGCGTGTCGGACGAGCCCAGACTGATCAGCTGGAGTCTCCTCCCACGGTTTACGATTTCGCCCGCCTCACTGACAGGTTGCAGGAGGTTGAGAAGGCGGCGGACCACACGCAGTTGGAGCTCTCCCAGGTTATTCATGAACGAGATACTGAGAAGGTACGTGTAGAGAGTTACCTCGCACGTCTGGAAAGCGAGATGGAGGCACAAAGCGCCCGTCTCCGAGCATACGAGCATCGACTTGATCGGTATTCACAACGCTCTCGGGATACTGATGAGTATACACGCCAAAAGGTGGGTCATATACAAGAAGACATGACGAGCTGGACGAACCAGCTGATCGACCACACTAACGACACCAACATCCACCTTCGACCTACAGTCGACCCGCACAGGCCGACGGCAGCGTCCGCCGAAGCACCACAAGCTTCTGCAGGACAACAACGACGTACGTCACCAGGAGCAGCCTCCGCGGCAGCTTCTGCACAGACACGTCATGTGTCTCCTGTGCGCACAGAACCAACCACTGACGGTGCACCGATACCCTCACAACCAGTGTCTGCGGCGTCGGTCCATACAACGACCCCTATCAAGGAGTCAGACACCGTCCGAGTACCTGTCTTGCCTAAGATCACGCAGCTGCTGGAGTGGCAGCAAAGAGTGCGGAAGAACTTCGGAGCCGCCTCAGGGCGACCATCCAAAGCATACGCCTTCCTATGCGTGGCAGAACAGCCCGAATGTACATTCGAGGATTTACAAGACAGTGGAGTCTTTGAGAGCATCGATTGCAAACTCGCAACCGCTCTGAGCGACATCTTATCCTCAGACTTACGCTACCAAATCAGGCTCATCGAGACTAGAGAGCACAAAGCAGGGCGCATGCTCAAAGGACGCCAAATCTACTGGCATATCCTGCAGTCCTACAAAGTGACAGACGTTGACGACGACCTGCGCGATTTCGAGCGCCTGAAAGAACTGAGGATGAGAGATGAAGATTTGCAGCGTTTCATTACCGATTGGGACGCCTTACTCTTGGAATGCCGAGAAGTACCCGATCCAAAGATATTGGAATCGCTATTTCGTACACAGATTCGTAGACACGCATGGATGAAACAAGACATGTACGAGTGCCAGCGCATGAAGATGAGCGACCCAAATCGTACCTACGGTTGGCTTCGACAGCGTGTCCTGGACATACTGGAGATTAAACAATTGGAGAAGAATCAAAACAAGCTACGGTACGAACATGAGACACGATCTCAGGTCAACGTGTGCGCTGCATGGAAGAAAGGCAATTGTCGCAACGGGGAACGGTGCAAGGCTTTACACGCACATGTTCCAGGGACTGGAAGAACAACAAATCTTCCAGAACATCGACGGCTGGTGGCAACCCCCGCCGTAGTATGTCCACTCCTGCGAATCACAAGAAGCCAGCATCGAAACCATTATGCTTCGATTTTGCCAAGCGCAACGCATGTACCAGAGGTGATAAGTGCAACTTCCCACACGTCGCACAGTGCAAAGATTTCGCACAGAACAAGTGCACAAAAGGCGACAAATGCAAATACGCTCATCTTGCACCTGGTGCAAAGACTCCTGAACAAAGCCCGAGTCGACCACGGACTTCCAGCCAGGATAGCCGTGGCCGATCACCACCCCGCGGATCAGGAAGCCAACGGTCTTCACAACGCGGGGGGCTTCGCTGCGCAAGCGATTCACGACAGGGACGTGACAACCGACGCCAATACGACCGATCTCGTTCGACATCTAGGAGGTCCCAAGACTCTCGCAGCCAGTCGAGAAGCCGTTACGACAGATCTTCGAGATCTACCTCCCGAGGACGAGACAATCGTGGCTGCGGACGCGGCAGTCCACGCGGCCGTGACAGATCATATGGTAGTGACAA